CGCGTACCAAGAGAGAGAGAGAGAGAGAGAGTATTCTTTATTTATTTATTTATCGTGAATACATTGAAAGGCTGTGGACAAAAGCTGCATACAAGCAGCTTGACAGGCCCGTCAGACCAATTCAAACATCAGCAGCAGACGGCAGATATGCATGCTGTAGAAATTTACAGTAATAGACACAACACACCAAAGTATCACAATTCTATTGCGATAACAAAAATATGCAAGTAAAAAATATATGCACGCTAACAACCAAACAAAGAAACGATATTGTATTCGAAAAACATGGGAACGCCACAAACAAGAAAAAGAGAAACGACGAGGCAATACTGAAACATACAAAAGTGCAAATAGTGTCAATTTACAAAAAAAAAGTTGCACCGGTAAAAGAGAGACTGATAATAAAAAGTATACATATGAGCTACTGCACACAACAGAACAGGAATAAGCGCTTCAAAAAAAAAATGGTTACACCAATCAGGGTATCACCCACACTGAGATGCATATGCACTAAAATGTCACACATAGGAAAACCAACGGCTAGTAATTGAAGGCCCGAAAAATTGGTTGCATAATGCATTAAAACGGTACACACAGGAAAAAAAGTAATGTTTGTTGTTGAAGGCGCGAAAAATTTGAGTAGCAAAGAGAAGGAGTAAAAAGAAGGTCTGTAACGAAGGTCCGCAAGGCAGAATCGATAGACACTTGGCGATAACAAAATGGGCCACGAAAAAAAAAAACCTTACCAGGATGACGCTATCAATCTACGCACTTCCTTTTTGGAAGTACGCGTCATATCTATGTTTCTTGCTTCCAGTTTGTTCGGTAAGCGCGGCAAAGTATTAGATAATGTTTGCAGACCGAATGATGTACGAAAGGTGGGCGCGTGCCATCGTTCAGTGTTTCTGCAAGTGTATACAGGCGCATTCGGGCAAAGGCAGGCCAGCTCAGATAAATTTTTGCAATATTTCGCTAGTTCTTTCTTGAAGCTAAGAGCTAATCTTACATTATAAAGATCGAAAATTTTGGTAATGCAGTATTTCTGAAATAAATGACCAGTGTGGGCCGAGAAGCTCAAATTCCAAATGGAACGCAAGGATTTTTTTTTTTTTGCAGTAAATTGAGTCTATTTTTATTAGCAAGCGTAGTAGTTCCCCAAGCTAGGTGAGCGTAATTCAGATAAGATTCAAACAAAGATTTATAAAGCAGTAACTTAACTTTAGGTGGAATCAAGTGGCGGTGTTTGCTAAGAATTCCTGCAATGCGAGACAATTTTATCATTACAGAATGAACGTGGTCATCCCAAGTAAGGTGACTACTGAAGTGCACTCCTAATACCTTCAGGCATTCCACGATTTCTATTTAGTCAGAACCAAATTTAACATACTGCGGAACAATGATTTGTTTATTTCGGGGTCGAAACAGTATAGCTTTAGACTTGTTTGCGTTTATTTTTAATCGATTAGTAATTGACCAGCATTGAATAGACTGCAAGACAGCGTTAGTTTCCCTTCCGATCTGGTCAGACGAGTCCAACGAAAAAAGTATGGTCATATCATCGGCATACAAAATGCACTTACCTTGTTGACATAAGCTTAAAATATCATTAATATATAAATTAAACAACAAAGGTCCTAATATACTCCCCTGTGGAACTCCAGCTATTATACGCTTAACAGATGATTTGTGGGTATCAATACAAACATACTGTGTGCGACTGGCTAAGTAAGAGGCGAGTAAAGAGTGAACACAACCGCGGAAGCCATACCTATCAAGTATGTATGTTGTGATTAATGCAATCGAATGCCTGAGGAAAATCTATGAACACGCCTAGAACAACTTTCTTTTCTGCAAAGGACGAATAATCCTCCCCACCGTGAAAAAAGAGCACGCGAGAGATCGCCCACTCTACTCCCCATCTCTCCGCGGGCCAAAGTACCCGCGAGAGATGAGAGCCGCCGCGCGCTCATTGCGCCATCTTGTTGATAATGCTAAAAGCAGAATAGCCCCCCCCCCCTCCCGAGATGCGCGCCAACAGCGGTAAGTGGTAAATGCAAATAGCTTGCCTTTTGAACGTAGGAGGACGTACCTCTAGGTGTCTCAGTGGTTAACGCCTTGCATTCATGACGCGAAAGTCCTATGTTCGATTCCGCGCACCGGAGTCTTCTTTTCTGATTTTTTTTTGTGATTTCATACATATAGATACGTATACATATACGATGCATGACATCCACGCCGACACCAATGTGGGCGGCGAAATAAAGTGGAGAGTGTTCATATAATTGCTATCACCATAAGACTTCCTCTGCTTGGAAATGCAGCAAGAGTAACTTTCATGTTTTGCCCAGACACGCGTGTCCTCTATTCAAGCTTCACAATGCAACATGAAATAATGCATTAATAATGCGTGGTGCAAGCTTACATTGTGATCTAGCGTCAGAACATACGATTGTCATGAACTCAAGGTTTATAGCAGGTCACCCACTACACAACACACGTTACTGTGCCTTTTTCTTTAAGGCCACGTAGTGGGTGCATAGCAAGTTTGATAAGATTTGACTAGCACAATTGCCCATGGTTCGAAGCACACTACTGGTTACACAGAATGCCACCGTATGCGAAAGTTTCCCAGACACAAGCCATTTTGAACTCAGTAAGCACTAGGCACAGAATATACCACTATCGCGTTCGAATCTTAAAAGCGAAGCTTGGGGGTCCCCAATTCCTTTTTCTCATGATCATTTTCCCGTTTCCTGGTATATCTATTATAGCGAAATAATGACAATAGAACTGGTAAAAGCTATGCACTTATGCATAATATTTATATTTTGAAACGGGTGTCTTTTAGGGTACATAGTGCAAGAGTGTGTTTGCATTTCGCCGCTATATGTAACCCCAGCCACCGAAACATGACTTCGAAGATGCGTCATCGAAATTGTCAGAGAGACACCCTAGTGACTAGGTTACCACAGTCATTCCGGCAATGCTACCGGGGTGACTGCAAGAAAGAATATTTTATTACATCTCGAATATTTTATTACTGGCTGTGAGACAGCTGGGCCTCATGCAGACCAAGTGAAGTTCTATATGTGACCACATAGTGAGGACGACAACATTAGGTGACGAAGACGGGCGTTCAATTGGGCGCATTTGGAACAGTCACGACTGACCTTTTTGTATGCATCGTCTTCTGTTTTTCCATCGCCTTAGTTCTGATTGCTGACGAACATTGAACTAATCTAAGCATTTCCCAATACTCGTATCAGCCATGACAGGCTACTGTTTGCACCATGGTTTTTGCATACATCAGCTAGATATCGGGCCTTATAAGATTTTTTAACCCAAATCATTTGCTTACATTCATCTTGATGGCCAGTGCATCTGTAGTCTATGTTCCCTTGTCTATGTGTTTACCCTCGTAGCTTAGCAGTGAAAAAGAGACAGAGAGACAGAAATACAGGAAATTCAGGGAGCTTAATGAAGGTCACCAAGTTGGCTACACTACACAGTGGCAGAGAGAAACGGGAGGAAAAGAAGAGAGAAAAAAGAAACATTCAGAGGAGGACTAGTACTCTTGCATAGCGGCAGCGTTCAATACGCAAGTCAAGAGGGTAGTAAACTGCAAACTGTCAAAAACACGGCTGATCCCTCTGTTTAACGATCGGCATAACACGAAAGAGAAACGCATCTTCACACAGGTAGTTAATTGGGCGATTCTTGTGCGTTGTTTCGCCCCAAGGGTGAAGTAATTAAAGCTACAGCAACAAATTGCGACGTCACGCCGCTTGAAACTTGCAGTGCACCTCAAGCAGGAAGCACGCACAAAATGAGCACACATAAGATGAGCACGGAAAAACAACTGTCACTGCTCAAGGCTTATTGCACGCTGCTCACACATAACGAAAGATGCACAAAACGAAGGCACACATTTACGCCTAGACGAGCGCCAAAAAATCTCACAAATCTTACTTCATCGTGTGAGCGGCACGTTTTTGCTAAAGGTGGCGGCGGCAGTGAGCGAAGTGACTTTCTGGCTCTATTTATCTGCTGTAACTTGAAGGCTAACTTGCGGTGGAAGCACAGAAGGTGCAAAGTGCCTGAATTTTGAGATAAGAGCGTGTTCGACTGACCGACCACGCCTGAGAACATCTGTACGGACTTCGACCTCCCCATATATATGGAGGCGTGCGCGAACCGCAAGGCGTGGGGTGACGCGGGGCTTCAACCTTTAGAGCACACGCGCAACATCCGACCCTCATGACAACTGGGTAGTGATAGCGAAAACGCGCTCAAGTTGCTGAGCTGTAAGGAGCTGAGCTGTGTTTTACATACATCGTAAACCGCCAGCGGTTCACGGTGTGAATAAATGGCTTGCTTTTACTAGTATAAGCAACGTGCGCGTAGTGTTCTAGTGGCGTCGGAGGGTTGTGCTCAACACCTCGCTACGGATCTTTTCCTTCTCGTTTTTGTTTTCTGCAATTGGTCAATATAGATTTTACAACGTCATACCCGTGATGAAAATACTTCAGCAGAGCCATGGTAGACCCTAGTATAAAGCAGTTTCGCGCTAATAATATGGTTGAACCTCGGCTGTCTTAGACGAAGTAGACAGCATTCTATCATGTCACTGTGGCAGAACACGCCTTTCTGCGTCCCCACGTGGTCAGTGAGCACGTTAAACCTCGTGTGCTAGAGCTAAACTTGACAGGTGATTGATCGATTGATTCAAACAATTTATTTTCATACAAAATGGAGGTTCAGTTTTTAGGGGCTCCACATTAGGTTGACTCTCTAATCCGCGACTCAATTGTAACAGCCGCCAGCTTAGCTCTCCGTGTCAGGGTATTTCGGGCTTAAAGGTCCAACCAACTGAGCAGGGTTGTTTATTACTCTTCTCGAGTTCGGTTAGAGTTGGGGGAAAAGCTGACGAGGACGCGCATGCATTTTCGTCGTCAACAACATTCACCAATGATGAAAAAGTGTTTACTGCTTTATTTCAGCAAACAAGACTTGCAATGAGGTACTCGAACAGCAAGTGCACGACGCCGGCTGCCGGCTGCTTGGACGCCTGCCGGACCGTTGGCTGCTCCGCTTTGACTCGGTCGGTGGCAGCAACGAGTCCGTGCCGGTGCTGGCCCTCGTGTTTGGTCTGGCCGACTCAACCACCCACATTGAGAGCAGCATGTGCTGGTCCGAGCTGACCGCAGCGCTGGCAATGCAGGGCATGGCCAAGGTGGCGCTGCCGGCGTCCACAGCGCGTGTATTCTTCGCCGCCAAGGCCAAGATCAAGGCAGAAGTGAGCAAAGCTATTAGGAGAGTGCTCTGGTGAAAGCTCGTGCGACTGTGGCGTTATGTTAGATTGCACACAAAAAACCTCAGCGACGAAACAAATTTGTAGGCCTTGTTATCAGCTGTGCATTGTCACATAACTCTACACAGCAGATCAATTTGGCAGAAGTGATATACGCCCATCTGGGAACAACCAGATGAATACCCATGCCTTGAGGGTCTCTAATCTGTAAAACAGTCCGCAAGTTCGATTTCTACTGGCCTTCTCATAAAAGCAGTATTGAAAATCAACGAAGTACAGTAGCGATCAAAAAAGCCCCTCCTCTCAAGTAGTCTAGAAAATGTTGGAAGCTTGGCAGCTACTACAAACTCATAGCGGACCGGTGTTGTAATAGCTGCGCCTTTTTTCTTTGGCTAAGTCACAATGACGCTTCATTCTAAGCTTCCAGAAAGGGCTACAATAAAAGGAAATAACATCTACAGGCAAACAAAACAGCACAAAATGTAAAGGGCCACTGTGGGATAAGTACGCAAAGCACTACGAGAGATTCATCATATCGATGAATTCATGTTTACTTATTCTTTTATCTACAAGGTGATATACTACTGCTATGTATCTGCAAGGCAAAAAAATAGTTTATTCATATATAGACGCATGTTTACCCGATATGTAACATTGCTTTTTTAACAAAATCTGTACCATAAGTCACCTAAAATCTATCGACGACAGCGCGTAACAGCATGGAAGGCTATAATTTTTTACGGCTTTTGAATTTACTTGTTGCCACGAGCTAAGCTCACATTGATATATAAATGCTTGCAGACATAGTACGCAAAGTTGATACATCATAGTATTAACACGATAGCGTTAAAGAGCTCGTTTCGCCGAAGTTCCGACGTCGGCATCATTGGTTTTCGAGCAAAATGTGCAGCAAAGGCGATGCAATGAACGTGATAGCAACAAATTAAAAGGTCGCACGCAGAATGGCAAGCAGATCGATATGTTCCCCGCGTTTATCACGCACAAATGACGCAAGAAACGTACTCTCAGGTACAGATACATGCCAATAATCGTATAAGTTGTTACTTCGCTCTGTCTGAAAAGCATGCCCTTTTCGCAAATGGAGACTGCAACGACTTCAGTGACCTTTGTGTGCCCGGTAACTACAACATAATGGTTCCGGTGAAAGCCCAAAGCCAGCCAAGACGGACGATTGCCCCCATCGCGAAATAAGCGGGCGTGTTGGCGTCCACCCTGCTCCCTCTCCGAGAGGCAAAGTACGCGTAGAAGATTAGAGCGCGCGCCGCCACTTCGTGACAATATGGCGACGCACGCCCATTCCACCTTCTTGCTGGTAATGGCGAAAACACGATAGTTCTCCCCGAGATGCCCGTGAGTAGCGGTAATTGGTAGATATAATTAGCTTGCCTTTTGAAGGTTAAAAGGGGTGCTTCTTCGTGGCTCAGTGGTCAACGCCTTGCACTTGCACCTCAGAGGTCCCATGTTCGATAACGCATGCGAGAGTCTTTTTCTAAATTATTTTTCTATCTTGTGTTTTTTATATATAGATACGGGTAAATATATGGTGAATGATAGTGACGCCAAAGGACGACGACATCGACGCCGGCGCAAAATCCAGCCGCAAGTGTCCATGTATTTGCTATCACAAGAAATATTATCATGTTGTGGGTGACGTCCAATTGAGAAAGATGCAAATAAAATAAATAATGAAAAATTGCTGGTTCGAGTGAAGTTCGCACCGAGGCCGTTTGTATGGAAAGCAGGTGTTCTACCACGCGTCCGTGCGTCTACTGCAAAGTGCTGTTAAAATAAATTCTTCTGCTTTGAAATGCAGTGAAAATAACGTTCATGCTTTATAAACACAGGCGTCCTGCACACAATCTTAACAATACAACATGTATTTTCGCAGTAATTTTGCGTAGTAGAAGCGTTCACTGCCATCACACTTCAGAACATATGATTAACGACATCGTTGTTTAAAGCCCGCCACTCATTACAACAGGGAAAGAGAAAAAACTTCAATAAATTTTCCGGTGGAGTACTACACGCGCCGTAATGCGTGTGCTTTTTGTAATGGGTGGATGACCAACCTCCACTCGGGGGCGCATAGTCGTCCACCCATTCCAAAAGGCACACAAGTTACTGCACGTATTCCTTGAAGACCTTGTGGTGGATGCATGGCAAGTTCGAACGCATTTCACACACATAATTTTAGTGGTTTGAAAACATGCTAACCATTACACAGAATGCATATACATGCGGTAGCTTCACTGACACAAGCCACTTTCACCTTTATCGATTGCACTGCAGTAGTCCAAAATGCTAACTTCTCGAGTAACATAATGAGATAAAAAGTATGTGCTAAGTAGTGTAAGTACGCTCTTGAGACGGGATATCGCTGTCCCGTACAACTTCCTATAAGGTGAAGCTTAAGGATCCCCTAATTCTTTTTTCTGGTGTTCATGAATACATTTTGTTCAAAAGTTGTATTTTTGTGAAGCCTGAAATACTCCTTGGAGCCAATAAAATAATTCTTAGAAAAGTAGCACAGAAGTTTGGAAGACAGTGCGAGTCGAGATATTCGGAGGCAATTTTTTAATGAAGGCTTAATTCGGGCTACTTGGCTCAAAGTTTCTAAAAGCATTGATCGACCTTGGCGGGTAACGCATAAAGACAACCACATGACAGCCCAAGCTAACAGTTGTGGTTTGGTCGTGTTTTTTTTTTGTGCGTGTTTGAGTGTATGTCTAGACCTCCACAGTGACCTCTTTTTGCTTGGAGTCGGCGCTGAGGAGGCCGTGCCCACAAAGCATGGAATGTAGTTGCCTTATTCAGCTGGGTTGATTATAGAGGCTGCTGGCTTCCCTCGATTGGCTATGACTGCCATTACTGAATTACTTTTGCAAAAGCTTAAACGTGAAACAAGGGAAGCGATGACTGTATACTACCCAGACCTCAAGGGTTACGTCACAAGTTGTGCCGTATATTCATGAGCTCTTGCACAATTTCAAGTAAGTCCCGGGCAGCCATGGTGTACCGATGGTGTTCTTGGCAACCAAACCGATGGTGTTCTTGGAAACCGGGAAAAGCGGCAAATTGTGCAAACGTACTTCCGATAGCAAGAAGCGCCGCTGCGAGAAGATGCATGAGAGGCCGTTTGTGAAAGTTGCATGGGTGTCGTGTACTCGATACCCTTATCCTGCGGCAAAATGAACATCGGCCAGACCGAAGATGTATTTATGACCGGTTAAGGGAACACGCCCAAAAGTTAACAAAACAATATGACAAGTACGCGCACCTACTTGCACGTGTCATTTTGTGTGTTTAATGTCGATGCCTGCATGTGCCCTATGTATATATTCAAGCCATAGTGCTGTGAATAAACCAGTTGGAAGTGAGCACTGTGCTTGTTAGATGTCTGGGTGTGTGTGTTCGTGAATGTGTCGTGTGTTTTCACTCATTAGTTTTTTTTAATGTTCTACCAACTAGCCCAACAACAAGTTCCTTTAGTGATGGGATGTACTTGTTGGATCGACGTATCCAATTCATGACGTTATCTTGCGAAGTGCCGTAGTAAAGTCATATAGTTTATTGTGGTTATGATGTCACAATTTCTCTTGAAAGCGTCACAAAAGTTCCTTTGTGTTTTTGTGGTCATTTTGTCGCGCCACTTGAAGTTATTCGCACAAATTTTAGTCATATGAGGCATCATCATGACAGTGAATGCGATGATATCATTTTCACGCCATAACGGAACCATGCTGAACAGGTATAACCATTGCTCGGAGTATAGGTGCCGCGCGTGTTATCAGTTTGTAGACAGATGCCGTCACTTCACGCAGGTGTGCCATCTACAGTTTAGCTGTGAGATATCATAGGGCACACGTTGGCTTTCCAAGGTGTATTTGATGAGAATTCCACTATTTTACTAAGGCAACTGTAAAACCTAGTTTGTTAACAGAAAAGTTAGGAAACGGCTGAGGAGGACCAACGTACGTTGCAAGTTCTTTTGTAAAAATAATTTGGCTGCGCTCCCAACACGTGCGCTTCACGCATCGAGTGCCGTTGCAGAAATTAGCTGTGATGTTTAGAGCTCCGTCTTCTATGTGCGTCACATATTTGCTCAAGAAACGCTAGCGGTAGTCTTCGTCTCCTTCAACGGTGATTGATAATTCGCACAATTGGGAAAGTATTACTCAAAGCCAGATGGTTGGGCACGTGCACTATTTACCGTTTTCTTTCTATTTTTTATTATTTTTGTTTTTAGTAAGAATTATGCCAGTTTTAAGCATTCTTAATGAACAAGGCCGGTATACAAATGACCATATGACGATCACGTGCACAATATATATAAAAATGATTTCAGGCACCACAATGGTCTAACGCACATTGGAAGCGGCGTTTCAAACGTCGCAAAAGAATCTGCTCTCTACTTTAGTGACCACGGTTACCGTGGTGAGCATAACCTGAACGCTAACAGACGCGGTGACGCAGAGCCTGAAAGTAGTTCTTATAAGCAGGTCCGGACAGAGTTCATAAAAGAGCATAAGTTGACAATAAGCATGCCATGTCATGGTATGGAGAGCAATAAGTAGATTTATTCTGAGCGCTCAAGTCTTCAAGTTTTTTTTTTTAAAGTATCACTCAGTCTTGTATATCCAAGACACAGTTCATCAGCTCCATAATATGTAGAGACAAAGCTCACTGCACTTCATGATAAAGATTTTGCGCCCACACCACTTGCTGGATCGACGTTTTCCATTCATAACGTTATCTTGCGAAGTGCCCTATTGAAGTTATATAGTTTGATGTGCTGATGACGTCACAACTTTTTTTGATGACGTCACAAAAGCTCTATTGCGTGTTTTTGTAGTCATTTTGTCGACCCACTTGAAATTATTCGCACAAATTTTAGTCATATACGGCACCATCATGACAGTGACGCAGACTCGAGTTGATCCTTCAGTTCATGTAGTCCTTTGTTTAATTTATATAACGTTCTGTATGTTCATCCCCATGAGACAACGAAAGAGAAAGTAGGAGCATGGTATATCTCTATATTTAAGGCATGTGCGTCGCTCACCAATTCGTAGCTCTGAATGACAACGAAATGGACATGTGAGACAAATTATGATAGTACAACGTTTTTGTGGAAACTTTCGTCATTTTTATTTGAAGGGGTATACCATGTGATTCTCCTCATGCGCAGTGATCGTTAGGAGCTGTAGCGACTCTGTATTTTGTAGTTTTTTTTTATTGAATAAAATTTCCTCGATAGTCTGCGCTGGTCCTTGTGAACCTTTCGCTTGTGTCTTCGTGCTGCGTGCGCAAAATTTTCAGTATGCAGCTAAACTAGCTAGCCTGCCTTTTATTTTTATTACTGCTCTTCGTTGAAGTGTTTTTTCTTACTGTTTTTTCTTTACGTACAGCTATCATGGCCGGGACCTGAGGTGGATGATCTCAACGTGGGAAACTGGGAGCTTATCGACAGCTCTCATGACGAAGTGGAAACTACAAAGGAAGCCGACTTCCTTCTGCAGGTATGAAAGAGACATTTCCTGCAGCTTCTCTTTCTAGGTTCCGCCTAAAGTTCGCTGGTTCCTTTAGGCCTCCTACATATTTTTTACACGTAACTGTAAAATAAACATTGCGATCTTTAGAATCACGTATCTACGCATTTTTTATTAGAAAACACATTACCCAATATTTACGTGCCGATGTTGCTTCTCAAGTATGCGCGATATTTGCTTTTTATTGACAATGTTCACAGCTATAAACGAAGCCACGAGATCAAGAGAGGTGGGCGTTGAGAAGGTGCTTAAACTTTCGCCGGTGGCTGATTGTTTGACAGACAGCCAACAGATGGACAGAGACTGAAATGTCGGCTTTTCAGTATCCCAAGTAAAACTATCGTCTTCAAAAATTACTTCTAAAATGGCATGGCAGTGCGCGCACCCTCCATATAAAACAAAATTTAGTGGATTCACAAAGAGATATCATGACTCCCATTCACTTGCGATGATGACTATGATAATGACTGTAATGCGTCATAATTTATTAGCCCTATTCGACTATATTAAAACTTCATTTACACTTCGAGTGGCACATTCTGTCACTACAGTAAAAGGGTCAATCCACATCGCTGCGCCCATGAAAAATATTACTGGAAGTATGGTATAATACTCCTATTAGTAGGTAATACTGAAGGTACCCCAGCGCCTGTAAAGGTATAATTTGTGGCACGTTGTGCTGAAGTGTTATCACAAGCTATATCCAGCCATGTTTTACTGTCCTGTAGTTATAAATACCTATTTTTCTTAACGGTTTGTGGCATACTGATATACAAAATGCCTAGCACTGTAGAAGGACAGAAAGCTGGGTAAGTTTGTGACAGTGCTTGAACATATTTTAACTCAGTGCACGACTACGTGGACACAAGAGAAAGGACAAACCGCTGCGCTGACTCGCAACTGAATATTTATTGGACAACATGAACGAAAAAAAAAAAGAAAACTTCAAACTATGCGCCTATACGACCACCCACGTGACCTGCCGTTCTTTTTTATTAGTGTGGTGAAGTGGGTGCAAACGTTGAAGTGTTCTTTCTTTTTGTTCATCTTAACCAATAAAAAAGTCATTTGCGAATCAGCGCTTCGGTTTGTCCCTTTTTCCTCTTGTGTCCGCGTAGTCGTTCGCTGAGTTAAAATATGTTCAAGCCTAGCCCTCGTTCATGCAAGATGGGAGCTCGAAGATGAAAAATTCGTGAACGCGGCGTGTCACCGAGTCAGATGCTTCGACAAGCGCACTTATAATCTTCAAGGCTGGAACCATAGCAGGATTTATTAAAACTGGTGCGCATGTCGAAAAGTCGGCTGCCGCGACAATGCTTGTTCACGAACTTTTTTTTTCTAGAACTTGCGTTATTTTCAGGCGAATGTTTCCAGAACACCAAGAGGAGAGGAGGTGGGGTGACTTATCGCGACTACTTCGACTATAGTCGTTTCTCTTTTTATATAGTGTCAAATTTATAACATCAACGCCACCAATATTATACTCCTGTCCCGGAAGCTATTCACATTGTTAGGGGTCAATCTGGCCCTGTAGCAGGGCTGCGTAAGCTAAGTAACATAAAGTCTATGAAAATACATGCACAAAAGCTACCAGCATCCTCGTGGTATTGTACAATCTTCAATAAATGAAGACTTGAAAATTTTTCCGACTTCATATACTCTTTCCAAAGACGTGCAAAAGCAATGAAGCTTCTAATAAATTGATATTTTACCACTTAACTAGCTACTGCCATGTTTTAAGACAATGGTGCATCAAAGTGCTTTTTGCACAAGCGAGAAGTAGCAAATAGTTGAAGAAATGCAAATGTACCAGATTATTCGCTTAAATTTATATTTCATTGGTACAAGCGTAGAAAACAAAACTAAAAGTACATTCCCCAATTATTACCTTGTCTGAACAAGCTAAGTCGATGAAAGGCGCATAACAACCACAGCACAATTCCGTTCTTACTATGAAAACCGTAACTGCACATAATCTTTGAAGCATACACTCTGTGCTGGAACACATGCATGGTCAACCTCAATGCCAAAGTACAGTTGGCTGTTCTGCTTTCTCTGTAAGTGTGCAGTCCCCGCGCTGGTGTGAATGTACTATTGTAAAGTAAAGCAGTCCTAATAACAGTAAGGTACGTAAACACCATAAATGAGTCAGGTGGTATCTATGGCCACACGAAGATGCTTTTTGTCGAAATATTGACCAACGGGCTCTGAGAAAACTTGGCAGTCGGCAATTTTTTCCAACTGCTTACCAATTTTCTTCCAGGTGACTCGTGAAGCGGCCCTTACAGCAATCGAACGTCAGCTACCTCGCCTCCTGCTGAGGGCTTTGAAGCCCCGAACCCCGACGATACTGTAGTAATACAGCCGAAGTTTGGGTGTAACGAGCCCTGCATGATGCTACATACATGGCTGGATCACATTCAGGAATTGTAACACTTCACTGACTTTGCGCAGCACAATTAGACATTAGTCAGTAAGTGTCCTCTACTCTGCATACATCACCATTTCAGTGAACATGATCTATGTAATAAGGCAGTTTTCACATAGATGTTTTTGACCGTTAGTGAATACCGGAAGCACAGATTGTTTTCTTATTACATCTATTGACAGAAACTCAAACGTTACTTTTTGGGGAATACCTTTTTTAGTGCATTTAAAAATAATTGAGACGTGCATGACAAAAAGACACCGTTGTAGAGAAACAAAGAGTATCAAGAGAACGAGGATTGCCAAAAAAGCGACTGCCGAGAAGTCTACAGAAGTGTTCATTTTTTTCGAAAGTGTAAATTGAGCGAAGGCATTCCTCAAACGCAGTGAGAGCTGATCAAAAATGTTTTTGCCCTCTCTGGTGAAGAAGGTGGCGATGCTTCTAAACATGCAGTTCGAAATAAATGCAGGGAGATATCTACTCACAAGAAAAGCCCTGACAAAGCAAGATTGTTCGTCATTTTCATTTGATGCTTGCGATGTTTGCCAACTTATACAACCGTGTAACTTGCTCTGTCAATGAGGATATAGAAATCTAGATGCATCCACGCCACAAAATGGTGGCACGTTTTCCTCGAGTAGCAGTGTTTTAAAACTGAATCTCCATATACTATTAGCATACGCTGTTACTGTATTTGAACATTCTCTTCTCATATTTATCATCATTGCTTAGTGTACTTGAATACATGCATGAATTTCACTGGGACAAATGTTTCCACAGCTGCATGCTACGTTCTGGTTTGCTGCTCTGTGTCAGTTGCTAAGAGGTGTCCCACCTCTTCTCCTCACCCCGCCAAAGAAAATTCTGGCTACGCCCTGCTCTGTGCTTATATACCACGCTACTTTATGTACTGCGACTTGCTTCCCGATTACGTACAGCAAGTAAATGCACCAGAAGACTCAGCTGGGATTGCTGTTTGATATCCCTCAGTAAAATACCATTCGCTTTCTCTGCACTACGTATTCTACTGCTTTAGTGATAAACTTTTCGAACATACGTGTACTAGAAAGGAATCTAGCTTAAATATTGCTTCTTGAGCCCCTGGTAGTGGTGTTCATTCATAGCCATGAACCCGTTTTAGTAACCTCCATCAAGGGTCCTTCGCAAATGAACCTCGTGGAGAATATCGTCTGTGCATATCACAAAGGCTCGAAAAATAATCAATGCATTTGCTTAGCATTTTATTGTGATATTTGCGTACTAGCGTCAACGCGTGCTATGCAATCAAACACACCAATACACTTGGTGTTTTAGGCTCTCTGACAAGGTTGAATGTCCGAAGCAACAAAACACAAGAACGCATCACAAACTATTTTTGTGAGAGGAAAAACTTTCCAGACACGGCGTGAAGCCAACTTCGTACGAAGCGCCCTCTGTTCTGATACCAGCTCTACGCGAACGGGAGTAAGCATAGATGTCTTGCAAACCTATTTTCCTTCAGTACATATTAAACGCGAAAATACATGCAAGTGTAATCTAATCATGCTAAGGCCCTCATGCCTGCTATTATGTACAGCTGTTCTGACAGTAAAAGCCACCATGGTGGTTAAGCTAGGTGAAAACAGGAAGGCGTGTCAGACACCATATACCGTTGCCACTGCTCCGTCAAGAAGCCGGCATTTCACATGCTTTATTCGAAGAGCGCCTTTCTGACGCATCTGCTACCATCCTCCGACGTAACGCGACGTGTGGAGATTGTTGGGTTGGTAACAGGATGTATCATCCACTTTTCTTGAAGTGGCATGCATCAAGAGCCTCAGAGCTGCGCACTTAAGAGATTCAAAACATTGTTAATTGCGGTTCTTTTTTTTTGCATGATACGAACAATATCTAAATATGCATCATCCGTAGCTACTCTCTACATGTGCATCATCTTTGAGATTACGATGGTGTACAACTGGCTTGGAGGTGCTATATATAATAAGCCATACAATTGTGCGTGACATGGTTTTCTTCACAGTGAGAAATCATTATTGTATCACGAATATTGCCGGATTTGTAAGGAACATGCACAGTTGCTACTAAATGGCGGAGTTCATATATGGAAGGTTACTACTTGCAAGTCAGATTTCAACAGGCGTATGGAGCCTCTTACCTCAGAGCTGTGAGTGTATTTTCGCACCACAATGTGAGGCTATTATGCTGTGTATGAAATTGTGTTTTCTGTATTTTTGCTGTTTGACCAATACAACCTTTCCTGAAGTGCATTGCATAGTACTTCGTCTTTCTGTTCAACTCATCATCTTAATATTTCTGAATTGTGCATAATCAATGCAGTAATGCCTGAATATTTACGAAATGACAATCTTGCACTCTCCATTGATTTTCATGAGCTATTAAAGTCTGATAATTTCGTACTCGCCTGTCTTTGTTTTGTTTTTTTCGACCATTCACTTATAGTCAAGTGCGTTTTACCAAACACTAAAACACTGAAAAATAAAAACCTGCACATTATAATACTTGTGACAGCTGAGATTCGGCTGAAAGTTGCTTGAAACCGCCCTGCTATCAATTTTTTCTAAGGATAATGGATAATGAATGAGCCATGTCTAGATGCGACGTGGTACGACCTGCAAATCGAAACCCACTGACTTCCTCTGATTTACAACGTCCTGAAAAGACCATGCGAGGTTAGTTTATTGTTGGAACCCTAAACGTCAGCGTGCTTTGGCCATTTCTCAAATTTTACAGGCACCTCTCCGCAAAGATACTCGCACTTACTCAAAGGCTGGCTGCAGGGATAATCCTTGTTTACCCATTTCTGATTTTTAGAACTTTCCATGCGTGCATCTCATTGTTCAATATCACTTCCCATCACGATGTCCAATCCACAAATAGTTTGTATAAATGCTTCGTCCTCAAAGGTAAGTGTATTGAAGCAGTGTAACACACAAGTGCTAGGGGCGCCTATAAAATAAATACTTGTAGATTGCCTCAGTAAAACTGGCATGCTCACCACGAAAGCAGGTGCGTCTTCTCTCCACCTCCCTAGTAGGTCCGTGTAAGAAACTACATGGTGTGCCTCGACGTATCTGCTGTCGCTCCTTTTGAAGAAGGAGTGACAGCGGATACGTCGAGGCACACGAATGCGTTCATTTCAAAACGTCGGGAAAGCAGCCTGTTTTTTTTTGTTTCCTTTTTTTGAAATCCATAAAGCATGAAATCTTCCTTTTTCATCTTTTACGACTCGCAGTCGCAGGGTTCTTTGTTGCAGCTTAGCTGCTGACGAAAAATGTTTATTTTTCAAAAAATAATGTTCACTAGTCAGGCACTCCAGCATAAGTTGACGCCTGTACTTAGGTTCCAGAATCATTTTTTTTTTTTTGTAGAATAGCCACAGGATTTGGCTTGGCCGCAGCACTAACCCGAAAGATCTCCTGCAGACACGATGTATATTCAGCAACGTTCTGTACAATCGTTCAGGAGAACATCATTATATCTATGGAAGCAGTCTACACTGGTAGAGCCCTGTTGGGAAAGTCGTAGTGCTGCCGTGATGATCTTCACAACTTGTTCGCATGTCTTGACAGCCCAGAGTCGATTATCGTGAGCAATAATTCCGGCAATTGCGGGATTACTTCGGTCGTGATAAGTTCATTCATGATCTGCAATCAATCATTCAAACTCTTAACGCAGCCAGCAACAGCCATATCTATTTTGGTCTGGCACAAGAAAGAAAAAATACGAGTACTGATCAACACAATTAAAATAGTCTCTACAGAAAACAAAACAATGTAGATTAATCAAAACAATGCAAATAAAAATTCAGGCCAACAGGGCAAATATACACTAACATAATGCGAATATCTAAAAATACTGAATAAAATGGCACACAACAATGCGGAAGGTAGGCTGAAGTGCTAACTTGAAAATGTTATCTGGAATGCGCGGTACCATGCATGGTAAAACACCACAAAGCCTTGAGTGAAGTAAGGATTTATAGCTATGAAAAACATGTACTTAAAAAAATAACAATTGTGGAGCTCACCTATACTGGCTAATGAAATATATTTTACCCTTCCGACTCGCTCAAACTGAGATTCACCAAAATTTTTTTGAACCGAGCTAACTTGGGCTGAGATTGACAGAATTTTTTCTCAGCCGGACTCACTAAGACTGAGATTCAACAAAGTATTACACCCTTGGAACCACTAAGGCTCAGGTGCATGACTCTATCTAGTGTCCATGAGTCTCAGTGAGATTACTCATGAGTAAGTTTTTGTACTCATTTGACGGTGGGCAGTAGAGCCTAAAGGCAGACAGCCATAAGAATCGGTCTAATTGTCTGATGCAGAACCCCAAAAATACTACCACCGAGAAGTTGCGGGCAGAATATTGTACCAGGTAGAAGCTTCAAAAAAAAAACAGTGCGATTTCATCGGCAGTAAACTGATGGCGATGATGGTAATACAACTGGGTTAGTACTCCGTCAAGTTCAAGAAAAGGATGCTTATAAAGCTTGTGCAGAAACTAAGGCCCCATTATAAACATTTAATCACTATTACATTGGATTTACTTTTATCATTTAAATCAAAGCCATTTTGTTCCTCGTAGTTGTACAATTTTGTACACTGCATTCATGCTATTTTAGATATCAGATATTAGTCCCATGAACTCGAGAAAACTCGTGGTTCTCCGTTAGACGGAAGACAATTTTCAGGAAGCTGATCAGGACGTCATAGCCTCCTAAAATGACCTACAAGGCATCGTAACGCCAAGCGGCTTATTACTTCGAGCATGTGGTAGAGAAGATGTCCATCGCGCAACACGAGAAGGATAATGATGAATTCATGAACTGAAAGCAGCAATTTTTCTTTAAAAGTACCCTGTTAATATCTGCAGACATGTACTGCAAACATATCAAATGGTTTACAAAGGAAATGGCGACTAAGCATCGAAGCTTGTGCGTGTTGGTTAATTATTGAAAGGAACACAGTGCAAAAGAAGATGAACACAAGAAATGACGTTGTTGTCCCCATCTTTTTTAAGCTATGTTCCTTCCAAAATTGTGAATGAGGCCGACGCTTACGCGGTAATGTTAGCACTGCAAACGAATTCATTTTAAAGTACAAAATTATTTCTGTTTCATTACAATGTTAACGTAATACTGGAGGTGAGAAAGGACTCCTAACCTGAAGTTACTTCCATTCTCTTTCTTTATGCTCAGAAATGCTTAAAACAGATATAAACTTTACAAGCAGCTAGCGGCTCATCATAGGAACAGTGGAGGCCTACAGAGCAAGAAAAGACCGGCTTACTAAGCCACCTTCACTGTTGCTACATAAAAAAAATCGTTGCCTTGGGTATTTGATTGTCCTAGAAAAGGTGTTTTTTTTTTGTTTCTTGCGTGCTTTTCTTCAACGTTTGTGATGACACGCATGCGTCATTTGATGCACTGTGTTTATAGGTTATCCTCTTTGATTAAACCGTTTCAGTTGTAAGAGCTTTTTTTCTTTTGTCTTCCTTCTTCTATCCGGCTACCGTTCGTTGAATTAATTTTGTACGCTGCATTCAAACCTACTAGCCCTGTTGTGAACCCTTTTCCATTGCTTGTGTTTACAGCAAGTTAAAACTGTCCCCAAGAATGATTACATATATGTAGCCATTACGCAAGACCCTCCACTAATGTAAGGATCTCAGCCTTCCAATTCAGTTCAGCTAATTCTGCTACGTCATGCTACGTTGAGTTTGTACTGATTTCAAGTTAGCGTGCTTCATTGGTATTCACGTGTCATCACTACTCTAACTAGTACCACATGAAATTATTGGCTAACGCGATAAGCAAGTTTTGTGGGTTACATTGCGAAAGCTTGGTTTATCAGCGTTCTAGAGAGCACCACTAGCGGTCGCTGCAATGTCGTTCACAAACCTGTCTCATCTGGGTGGTCTCTTCAGGCATTTCATCTGTTGCCTTTTCGCACAAAACGCCGCAGCTGGACAAGCTAGCGTGGTCCACACGAGGTCCAGGCCACGAGATCTGCGCAAAGTGCGCGACACACAGAAAACTCTGAAGGTGAAAGTCAGTCGTGCTAGAGCG